TGAAATTATTTAAGAGTTTATGACTTATTAATGATTGTTGACTGTTTTTAATTAAAACTAACAATAGAAACAAATATTTTCAATTAATTATTTTTCATTTTAAATAAAAGTCAAATGATGAGATACATTTCATTTATAATTTCTTTGATATGAAAAAACCACATCAAAACATAATTTACATCTAATTTAATAATCTTTGTATATTTACATTATTGTTTTATTGAAATATTTGTTTGTAAAGAATATTATAACTTCATATCCAAATGTAATGAAATAATCAATTGTTTACTTAAATAAAATAATACTATGAGTGTGTAATATTAAACATCATCATTCTTTTTCTTTTTTTTTGTTCTGATGAAAATAAATGAATTTTTATTTCTTTTTGACTATGTTTCATTCCTTTTTATTTCAAATATTTCATTTTTAATACTTACTAAATAATATTGATAATTCTTAGTAGTATCATCAATTGATTATTGAATGTTTGGAAATGTTTCTATTACTTCTTTAATTAGTTGATTGTTGTTGATTAACGCTTCCATTTTAATTTGATGTTGATAAGTTCAAAATATGAATGTTTAAATAATTAATACCTATCAAATCTAAACATTAAACTAGAATGATGCAGAATAAATAATATAATAAAAATATGACATTTAATATTTTTGATAGAAATAGTATTTTGCTTATCTTGTAATTGATATTCTTTATTTCTTACAACTATTTATTAATTTAAAAAACTATCCTGATTGAATTAATCATAATCAAAACAGAAAAAACTCTTCAAACAGAAGTAATTCAAAAAGAAAAAAACAATAAAAGAATAAATTAAAATAAAGAAACTATAAAGGAGAGATATAAATGAATTAATTTAGCTCTTTGAAATAAAGAAAATGAAGTAATAATAATAAGAAGCTTCGATAAAGGAAACTTATAAACAAAACATAAATTATAAGAATGAACATTCAAACAACTATTTTAAAAGAACAAATAACAATAAATGAAATAAAAATAATAAATATAAAATTCAACAATTGTTAAAATTAAAATGAAAGATTAAACTTTCAAATCTGTGAACTAAAAAATGAATGACATAAACATAAATACAATAGTAAAGTATAATTATACTGTGTGTTTCTTATTTCAATAATGAGTGGTTATTTATAAATTAAATAAAACGAAATAAATGATGATACTAAAAAACATAAATTTAAAGAAAATATTTAAAAACAAATTTTTGCTTAATAATAAAATATATTTATTTAAAGAGAAAAGCTAAAACTTATTAAAGAACAAGTAATATCAAAAAAAGGGTAGGTAATACTACAACTAACAATGGCACCAGTAACAATAATACAAAACAAACACCTAACAATTGATAGTTAGGTCATATATATTAACACAATTTCATTCATAAGAAAGTAATATAAAATATAAAATAAAAAAAATGTGTGGGACCATTTGTTTAGTCTAACATGCATAATGAGGTGGTAGACGAATCAGAAAATATCTTGTGATGAGAAAGAAAAGTGAATAAAAAATCCCGTCTTGACAAAATAAAATAGAATATTCTACCAAAACTGACAAATATATTTTATTTTTGTTTTGTTGTTATTTTTCATTTCATAAATAAAAAAGTATTTTTTACGAAAAAAACAATGAACTTTTGATAAAAGCTAAAAAATAATAACACGAAATTTTAAGAAAATTTTGAAAAAACCCGAAAAAATAAAGAACTTAAAAAAAAAGACAGGAATAATAAAAAATAAACGAAGAAATAAATTAGAAAATCTTAAAAACAAAAAAAAAATAAGAAAGGATGACAACTGCACGAGAACAATTAACTAAATTACAAAACACAATTTCTAAACTTCCTAAAGACAATCAAAATATTTACCAAGAAATATTTGCTTTATTATCTGATTTTAATTCAAGACTTGAAAAGTTAGAAGGATGTAAGTTATTAGAATCTAGTTCTGAAAGAGAAAATAAACACACACCTCGTATTTCAATTACTGCTTCTACTAATTCTATCTCCTATTCTACATCTGAAATCCCTGAAATTAATTCTGACCTTTCTTTGCTAAGACAGTGGACAGGTAAACAAACTTTTAGATTATTGTTTGATTCTAGTCGTGATGGGTTGCTTCCAGCTGCATTTAATACTACAACATCTTTAATAGCCAACATGATGGTCATTGTTATCTCATCAGACAATTACATATTTGGTACTTTTAATTCTTATTCTGTTCCACCACCACCAGTATCTTCTGATACAACCTATATTGAAAAAGACCCTAATTTTTTTGTCTTTTCATTGAAAAACCCACATGGAATTGCCCCAACTCGATTTTCACGAAAAAGACTTTCTACTACCTTAAGGATTTGTCCATCAGATGGAGATATTGTTGTTGGTGCATCTGACTGCTTCAGTATTATTCCTAACAACTCTTATATTATTCCAACTTTTGGGTCATATTATATTGATACAACAGGAAAAGGAGCTGATGTTTTTGTTGGTAATCATTACCCATCAAGGTTTGGTGTTAAAAAAATGTACGCTATTCAATGGGTTTAGGTCGTTTTTCACTTAAAAGATTTAGTTAGTAATTACATCTCACCCTTTCATTAACACCTTATTTCTTTGGTTATATGATTTGGTAATAAAAGAATGATAGTTGTACTATTGTTTTTGATAAAATAAACCTAAAAGATTTTAATTGAGTAATTTGAGAATTTATTCCTAAATTCCTAATACGAACGTTCTAGCAGATTAGAACGAAAAGGAAGAGGATCTCTAATATCTCAAAAACTATTCATGACAACTAATTACTTTGAAGGTCACAACAGAATTATTGGTATGGTTCATGTCCATGCTCTCCCAGGAACACCTAATTACTCATCAACCGCTGGAAGATGTAGAGCAATCATTGAAAAGGCTGTAGAAGAAGCTACTGTTTATCAGCAATGTGGCTTAGACACAATTATGATAGAAAATATGCATGATGTACCTTATTTAAATAGTACTGCTGGACCTGAAATTACTAGTGCTATGAGTATTGTTGGGTATGAAATAAAACGACAATTAAACCTTAGAGTTGGTGTTCAAATTCTTGCTGCAGCAAACAAACAAGCAATGGCAGCTGCATTTTGTTCTGGATGTGATTTTATTAGAGCAGAAGGCTTTGTTTTTGGTCATGTTGCTGATGAAGGTTACATTGATTCTAATGCAGGTGAATTGTTAAGATACAGAAAGATGATTGGCGCTGAAGATGTGTTAGTTTTTACTGATATTAAAAAGAAACATTCTGCCCATTCTATCACTTCTGATGTTAGCTTAATTGATACTGCAAAAACTGCTCAATATTTCCTTTCTGATGGTATTATTATTACAGGTACTTCTACTGGTGTTAAAACTGATCCACAAGAAGTTCGTGATGTAAAAAAATCAGTTTCTATCCCAGTCTTAGTTGGATCTGGAGTAACACCTGAAAACGTTAATGAGTATTCTAGTGCTGATGCCCTCATCGTTGGTTCATATTTCAAAGTTGATGGATTCTGGAAAAATGAATTGAGTAAGGAAAGAATTCTCAAATTAATTTCTGCTGTCAATGAAAATTAATCTTTCAAATTCTTTTTGTGAATTGTTTGTTGATATTTTTTATAAACCTCTCTTTTTTGAATTTTTTTGAAAAGTATTAGTTTCTCAATTATTTCTTCAAATTTTTATTTCTGTAATAACATCTTTTACTTTTTAAAGATAAAAAATACTTAACCATAAGAAGAGACTGGGATTTAAGTAAAACATAAAAACCTTCTTTTTTATGCTATAATTAATGACTTTTTCTTTTATAAAAAAATATGTTCAATCTGTTCAACAAAGGAAAAAATATATTAATACTAATCCAATGTATTTGTTTTTTTTTGTAATCGTTATATTTTGTTTGCAAGTTGATTAATTTAAAAAATATGTTGTAAACATTTATTTCAACAGAAAAATATTGAAAAGTCACTTTTAAAGTATTTTTAATCTTATTTTATATCAAATAAACAATTTATTTATTTTTTATATGAGAGTTATTAGTCATAGACATACTTATCTGTTTAGAGGTTATTTGAAATAAATAAAAAACTTTTGTGGTATTGTAATGAGAAATACTTCCGAAAAACAAATAAATTTAAATAGTTATATATAACATTATTATATTAAGAAATACAAAAACCCTAAAAAAAAAATAAAGAAGGTTTTAGTCAAAACAAAGAGAAGAGATGAATGTATATGAATTGGAAAATATATTTGGTGTAATCAATAATTCAGGAAATATATGTTTTGCTCCTGATGGGATTTCTTTATATAGTTGTACTGGAAATAGAATTCATGTAACAAACCTTCAGTCACATGTTTCTTCTGTTTTTCCTGTTGAAACATTTCGGCCTATCAAGTTAATTGCAATTGACTCAAGAAATAGTGTCATATTAGTTATTGATGAAACAAATTTTGGAATACTAATATCAGTTGCAACACGTACAGTTCTTTCTTCTATTAATTTTAAAGATGATGTGTTATGTGTTAAATTTTCACCAGATTATCCTTTATTTGCATTAGGATTTGAAAAGAAAGTTGAAATATGGAGAATTCCAGTTTTAACTAGGCCTGTTTCTTTTACTTTAGTAAGACAATACCGATCATTTATTACTAATTCGAAAATTATTCATATTGTTTGGAGAAAAAGACGAGTTATTGTGTTTACTGATGAAAATAGAGGATTAATTTTAACATCAAAAGGAGAAATAAAACATAAAATTGCATTTTGGAAATTACCTGTAGTTGCTTGTGAATATATTAATAACCATTTATATATTGTATCACCATCTGGAGTTTGTGCTTCATATGAGTATAATAAAGAAACAAAAAACTTTGAACAAATAGAAAAGCAATTAATCATTCCACCAAAAAATAGAATTCATTTTGCTGCATTTGGTGGTTCTATACTTGCTGCAAATATTGATGGTGAAATTAATATTTTTGAGACAACTCAGTTTACTAAATTACATGCATATAAATGTGATTTTAAATATGTTAGTCTTGCTGTTTCAAATACAGGCAATTGTATTGCGTTAGGAAATAAAGAATATGATTTCCTTACGGTATATGAGTGGAAGACAGAATCTTATTTAATGAAATCTGTTGGTCATAGGACTGCTATTCTTTCTCAAACCATTTCTCCAAATGGTCAATATATTGCTACAGGAGATGGACAAGGTAATTTAAATATATGGATGATTGGTTCAGGTGAATGTATTGCTAATTTTAATATTAAACAAGAAGGAGATGTTGGAGAGGATTGTGCTGTTAGAGGAATTGCTTTTGCTCCTAATTCTCTTTCAGTGATAGGGGTTGGTGGAAATGGTAAAATTATGGTTTATGATCTTATTAAAAAGAAATGCTATCGAGCACTTCATCCTGACACTCATCAACTTGATGGAATTGTAATTGAACCAAGGGATGGAGATATTGTTGCTGCCTATTCATCAGAAGATGCAAAAGTCTTTTTGTATTCAATTCGTACTTCTAAGTTACTTGATGTATTAACTGGACATGCAGGACCTATTACAGATATTTGTATTCACCCAGTTACATCAGAGCTTGCAACCTCTTCATGGGATAAAACTGTTAGATGTGTTAATTTCTTAAATGATCTTCAAACAGAAGTTATAGATCATCCATCAGAAGTTATGTCAATATCTGTTAATTCAATTGGTACAATGTATGTTTCAGCCTGTAGAGATGGTTATCTTTATTTATATGGATGTGATGATAAATCGATGATTGGACTTATTGCATATAGAAATGATTTAGTTGGTGGTATTAAGTTATCAACAACTGCAGCTCCAGATACTTTAAGGGATGGAAGTTCATATAATCCAACACAAATTATGGCAAGAAAAGAAAAATATGTAAGTTCTGTAAAATTCCTTGCAGATAATGATGAAATGGTTGTTTGTGGTGGGAATAGTAAATATGTAGCATATTACAATGTTATTTCTAAATCATTAGTATATAAGTCTTTTGTAACAAAAGACTATTCATATTCAAATATCTATGATTTCGTTACAAGTAAAAAATTAAAACAAAACCTTGATAAGAAAACAAAAAAAATAATTCAAACTAAATCAATTTGTGTTTCACCTGCTGGTAAAACTCTTAGTATTTTAACTGATGCCGGAGTCCAATTATATACATCAGGAAATCATGCTTTCCAACCTTATTGTCTTTCAGAAGCTATTACACCTGAAGCAGCTTTAGAACATTTGTCTAATGGAAATTTCCTTTCTGCCTTCATTTTCTCAGTCCATCTAAATGATAAAAATTTGATAAATCAATCATTTAGATCAATTCCTATGGAAGAAATAGTTAGTGTTGCAAGTAGAATTCCAATTGCCCTTCTTTCTCGTGTTTTAGAATATTTAACTAAAGAAGTAAGTGGATTACTTTTCCACAGAGCAGTCTTTTTCACGGCAGCACTACTTAGATTCCATATTAATACATTAGTTAAACCAAATATCTCTCTTGCACAAACAGCAATTCCATCATCTTCTGAATATCTTCCACATTTACGAAATTTATTTAAAGCACTTAGTCTTACTTATAAGAAGATGTCAACTCAAAGTCAACAAGCACTTGCGTTATTAAATATGTGTTTACAAATGTCTCATTTTCTTATTAAAAAAGAATCAGATGAAATTGTATCAGAATCTGAAAAGAAAGAAGAAATGAGTGAAAGTGAGATAGAAGAAAATATAAAAGAAGAAAAAATGAGTGAGGGTGAAAGTCAAGAAGATAATATTCAAGAAAATAAAAGTAATGATAAGTCTCATATATCTAGTAATGATATGAGTGAAGAAAATGATTGAATTTTTTGATTTATTTTTACTATTTAATTTTTCTTTTTTAATATAATTAACAAAAATTAATGATAAAATTTAAGAATAACCAGCAAATTGAATTTACCACAAACTTTAAGTAGTACTGTTGTTATTTTCCTTTCTTTCCTTTTTTCTTAGAAGCATCCTTTTGAACAGTTTGACCATTTGGTAAGTCAATTTGATAATTTCCTCTAGTTGCTTTTGCTAAGTCTTTATTTAAAGAATCGAAATCACCTGGTATAATTGAAACTTTGTAAACCTTTGAATTTCCATTAGCTGAAGATGATGTAATTCTGCCATATTTCTTCATAGCACCATCAGCAAGTTTACAAAAGTCATTTGGAACTGTAACTATAGCTTCTACTTCTAATCGTTTAGAGGGGAGAATATCATTTAATTTCTTTTCTACTTCTTTAATTTCTTTTTCCATTGGAGCTTCAGGATCAATAACAAGTTTCATAGCATCTAAAGCATTATTAATTCTAACAATTGGATGTGGTTTATTGGTAGCTGGGTCAACATAATAATTATGAATATATTCTACAATTCTTTTCTTTTTATCTTCTACTTGTTGTTTTCTTTCATCACTAGAAAATTGAATTTCACCTTTTTCAGCTATGGTCTTCAATATTTCATCACCACTTTTACCAGGAAATGCTTTTGAAAGTTCAGCTGGTTTGGCAATATTTCCTTTATTATGTGGGGCAATAAAAACCTCATCTGCAAATGTTGCATTAGAAATTCCTAATTTACCTTCACGAACTTTGAGTGCACAACCAGGTTTAAATAAGGCTTCAAAAACTATTTTTTCATATTTGTAACGAACAACTTGGTAATTTTGTTTTGACATAATGGAGTGGTAAATAACTGAATAATTAGTTGTGAAAAGAGGTTTGAACTATTAAACAAGAAAAAAAATAAAAGAAGTTCAATTAATAAGAAAAGAACCATGAAACTATAGTTCTTGAAACTATGATATAAAGTATCACTAAAACATAAAATAACAGACCTGATTTGAAAAATAAATCCTCTGCATTTGCTGTTATTTTCATAAAAAATAATTGTCTTTTAGAACTGTTAAGTGTTTCTGAAATATCATTTTGAGTGTTTAATGATGATTTTATTCTATCAGTTGACTGTTTGATTGTCTCATAACTTTCTCCAGTACGGTCACTTTCTTCTTGAATTCTTTTAAGAATTGTTTGTGTAGTGTAATTATCATGTGCTTTTCTAATATCACTCATCTTTTGTTATTTTAAGATTATACTCAAAAAAATAAGAAGATGTGAAACATCAATTAGTAATAATGTCTGATACATTTTCTGGATCAACATGTTTTATTTCTTCTAGTAAATCAAATTTAAATGGAGTATCTCCATAGTTTATTGTAATTTTATTAAACATTTCTACAACAATGACCGCAGATATTGGAATTGTGTCATCCATTTTTATAGATTTTAATTTTTCTCCATTAAAAGTAAAGAAAACAGATTTACTAATTGTATCATATCCACAACCAATAATGTTATGTCCATTTTTCTGTGTTCCATAAGCTGGTCCATATGGGTTACCATTACTGTCTCCATTATAAATATAGCCATCATCTGAGTGGTATCCAATACTTCCTTCGGACCATCCTACATGTTGTTCATCAAAATTAAATATGCAATTTTGGTCATAACATAATCCTAAAGAAAGTAGACAATACCCATAAACTTCAATTTCATAGTAATGAATCAGAGCTTCAGATTCTACAATTCCACTTTGAGTCATAATTCGCATCTTTCTTTTATCTTCAGGTAGTACAAATCTATCAGATACTAAAGCATCAAAATTTTCACCATAAACTGGTATTAAGCGTTTAATAGAATTATCAATTAATTCTATTCTATCAGTTTGAACATTAAATTTTCTTGGTTTGTAAAAAGTAAGTAGATCTTTCAAATAATTTTGGATATTATCGCAAGGATAATTAAAAGTATTATACATCAAACAATTAAGGTCTTTATAACTAATACCTTTGAATGATAATGGGTTGTTTCTTTCTGTATCATCTTCTGAAATAGTATTAATTTCTTTATTACTTTCATCATCGTCATCATCATCTACAGAAATAGTAATGTCGTTAAGTGTTTTAGTACTTGAAAAAAATGTTTTAATACAACCTTCAATATGAATATTTGATTTTAAAAAATTAATGCAAGGAACAACACATTTATACAAGTTATTAATATTGACTCTATGACAACAATCAATTGAGCCTTTGATAACGCAATAAGAAGAACTTTCAATAGATAGTGTTTCCATTACAGTATTAGTAATTCCAATAAATAATTTATCTGAGCCACAAATAGATATTTTATTAAGATGAGGAAATGGTGAAATATCACTGTCTTGTAGAGAAATATTAAAACAATCATTTATAGTAACTTTTTTAATGGTAAAAGTGTTTAAATGATACGAAACATTTGAACATCGACTAAGACATAATTCTTCTAGAAAAGGTGTTTTTAAAAAATAATCTATTTGTACATCATCATCATTAATATCATCTTCTTCTTGGCTATCATTACTTTCATTTTGATTTTCTCTTAAGTCCATTTCATAAATTATTAATGTTTTAATAAAATTTGGAATATCCCAATGTGTTGTTATTGAACGAATATTATTAAATTGAATTGATTGAACATAAGCCTTTTGAAGTAAATGTTCAAATCTTTTTCCATCTGTTGTTTCTTCTAAAATAAAATTTCCTTGTAACACACAAAGATTTTCTTCTTTCGGAATACATTGTTGAGGAGTTACAACACAATAACAATAAGTAACTCCAGTTAAACATTTTAAAAATTCAGGATTTGAAGGATGTGAGTAAGTAATTATTATAATTTGAATTTCATCACTTAAACGTAAATAAGATTTTAGTTTATTTATTAGTTTAACTGTAGAATTACTTAAAATTAATGGTTGATCTTCATAATTATTAATAATAATTTTTTTTGGATAATTAGCACTTTTATTTGTTCCATTATATGAATAATTCTTAAAGAAGTTAACTAATAATTTTAAGTCTCCACTAATACATTGTAAGTTAATAAATTTAGTTGCATGTTTTATAAAGAAATCAATTGTTATTGGTTTATTTTCATATACAGAAGGTGTATCTAAACGTATTGAAACAATTTTTGAAAGAAGTGGAATTATTTGTTTATGTGGAGCGTTAAGACGACAAAAAATAGATATAATTACATCTCTAATACATTTTACTTTATTATAAATAGATATATCTGTTGTTAAATAAGGTCTGTCAAGAGTTTCAGGTGTAAAGAATTTAAAGAATTTTTTTAGTGCAAGTTCATCATTAAAAGGAGGATTTACTTTTAATGCTTTAATTGTGTCAGCACATTTTTTATTAATAAAAATAAATTCTACAATGTCTTCAAATCTACTTAAATGAAGGACAACTTTCATCAAATAAACAAGTTCCAGTCGTGTCATTAGTAAGTGATTCTAAAATCTGTTTTGAAAACTGATAAAAAAAAATAATTTTAATAAAAAGCAATTAATTAAGTATTAATAAGAATTTTCTTCTATTATTCCTGACTCAAGGGAGACTAACCCTGTCACTTCATCATCATCATCTTCTTCTAATGACTCTACGGAGTATGTTTGATTATGTTAAAAGCAATGTTCAATGACATTAACCGTGTTTTTAATTACAAGGTTTTTTACTTCTT